TGTGTGCACTCCCTTTCTGCACTCCCTTTCTGCACCCTTATCCAGCTGTGCATTCGCCCAGCTGTGGCACTGCCTGCTCGGGACCCCCGGCAGGGTGCAGGGTGCCCTCCTTGTCAGGACGTGGTGGCCACCGCCTGCCCCGACAGCTGGGGTGTGACCCCCGCGGGCAGCGCGATCCTCGCAGTGTTCCTCAGCCTGTTCTTAATTGGCTTCCCCTTCGTCGTGACGGAAGGAGGCATTAATTAGCGCTGTTGCTCACCAGGTGCTACGGCAGCGCTTGTGTCGCAGGGAAGGGCCTCCCGGCAGCACGGAGTCTGCCACGGCTGGTGGTACAGCCAGAGAGTCCTTCCTCTGCCGCGGGGCCGTATTTCTGCCCCATCACTTCAGTGTTTGGGCAGAAAAACAGCTTTGCTTCTTTTACTTTGTTTTTGGGATGGTCTCTTCAAGACTGGCACTGCTGCCTTGGTGCTGCTGGGCTCCAGAGCTGGCAGCACCAAGGCTCTGCCTGCCCCAGGGCAGCTCTGTGTGGTGCCCTGCCTGCATCAGTCCTGCTGGTGGGACACAGCCCTGCCCAGTCACCCTCTTCCTCCTCTTCCTCGTCCTCCTCTGCAGTTCGACGCTGAATTCCGCCGCTTTGCCATGAAGCGCTCTGGTGCCGGCAGCTTCCAGGACTTCTACCAGCTGCTGCAGACAGTGCACCAGATCCCGCGGGTGGATGTGCTCCTGGGCTACACAGACATCCACGGCGACCTCCTGCCCATCAACAACGACGACAACTACCACAAAGCCCTGTCCTCTGCCAACCCCCTCCTCAGGGTCATCATCCAGAAGAAGGGTAAGCAGGGCACTGGATGCATCCTCCTGTCAAGAGAGATGAGCCACATCCCGCGGTACTGCTGGTTCCACCTTTGGACTGTGCCAGCAGGAGCATGGCTGCTCACATACCCTCCAGCCACTGCTTTGGTGGATGGATGTGGAGATGGTGGCAACTGGGAGGCTGCCAGAACCCTGCCAGGGCTGTGGCACCCACACGGGCTCTCCCTGGCAGCCGAGGGCACCTGCCTCAGCCCAGCCCCATGCAAACCTGGTGAGCAAAGGCAGATACTTGCAATTCACCCCTTTGAAGTTGTGTTTTCCAGCCAGGCTTGCGTGGGCTCCCAGATAACACCCGTGTTGCTCCTGTGAGCTCTGTGCCAGCAGCCCCATCCAGCTCCCTGCCCTGAGGAGGCAACAGCTATCATTTTAGCAGACCTCTCAGGGTGCCAGGTGCTGCTGGATTTTTGGTGTTGGGAAAAGGCTTGGTGCCCCCCCTGGCAGACCAGGGGCTTGCCCTTACCTTAGTGGCATGTTCCCTGGGAACAACTTCCTTGCAAAGGTACACCTGATGACATCCTGATGGCAGCATCCTGGAGAGAGTGACAAACACACCAAGTATTTCTCCTGTTTGCAGGGAAAACAAGCCCATCCCCTTCCACTCATTTTAGTAGCACTGAGATTTTCTCTTTCATAGCATCATCAGTCAGCAGTTCACACAGTGACCCAGAGCCACAGTTTTCCCTGCACAGCATCCAGAGTGAGTCTGTGTTTCCAGCTCATGTTAGTGGTATGAAGTCTCTAGTGTTAGTGGTATGAAGGCGAGGGGTGATGCTGGTGGCCAGCCCCAGCTGCTGTGTCAGTTTTCCTGGGCTTTTGCATCAGGGTGGTGTGGGATGCTCTGAACATGTGTTTTCTCTGTGGCTGCATGGTGTGGGGGCTGGCAGCAGTGATCCAGGCTGCTGGAGCCCGTGGTGTGCCTGCTGCTGCCAGCACTGAACCAACCATCCCCTGTTCCTGGCCCAATGCTTGGACCCAGGCTGTGACATGGAGAGCACACATGGTGGGTGTGCCAGGGCTGCTGTGGGAGCATCACTCCTGCTCCCAAGAGCCACGCTGTGGGCTGCTGGAAAAGCCTGTGAGGGCCCATGGCTGACTGTGCTAATACAGCAGAGTGTACAGAGGGAGCAGGCAGAGCCTGGCTCCATGGGCAGCACCAGGGAGCCCCAGCACCCAGCTGTGCCCACAGGAGAGGGGCCGCAGGGCCTGCAGCACCACAGGGAGGTGAGCAGAGAGGCCAGGAGCAAGTCCCAGGTGAATCACAGCTGATTTAAAATGGATCCAGGTCATCCCGAGGCTGAGCTGTCGTTGAACCGGTCTGGGTCGCTGAGGAATGTGGCTGCAGAACCTCTCACAGCGCCGGGTGCAGGGAGCTGTGCAAACACACAGGTGTGCTCCTGTCAGTGGGCTCTGCAGTCCTGCCACAGTGGGGCAAAGCAAAGGCTGCAGCTGGGCTCCCCTCTGTGCCATCCCTGCGTTGGGTGAAGCCATCCCTGTGCGGCAGCCTGGCTGGGACAACAGCACTGGCCCTCCTTGGCTGGGCCAAGGCTCATGGGAAGGACAGGGGAAAGTGTGGGACATTGCCAGGGCCACCAAAGGGCTCATCCTTGGTGTGCTGGACCTGCCACTCTGCACCCCTTGGAGAGGAGCTGTGTGCTGAAATAGCTGTGGGAAAGCCTCCGCCGCCCTTCCCCGAGCTAAAAATATGCCAGGGCTGTGTGTGCAGGGAGATATTTATAAGCCAGGAGCCCTGGCAGGCTGACTTGGCTAGGGAGAAATCCCATGTCCCCTGGGCTTGGGGACATCCCTAGCAGCCCTGCAGCTGGAGCAGGGTCCAGATGCTGGTGGGGGACACCATGGAAAATGTGCTGACCATGGAGCATCCAGATCTGGGCTCCCCCATGGAAAGAGATGGGGAGAAACCAGAGAGGAAACAGGGGATACTCATCAGCACCTGGTGGATGAGGCCAAGGATGATGGGCTGGAGCTGGGCCCCACAGAGCAGCCCCAGACCACGGTCCAGAAGGAAGGAATCAAACCCTGTTTGAAGGTGCCTGATGGTGGAATAAGAGACATGGGCACAAATCACAGTCTGGGATATTTAGGGGCCCTGAGAATGCTGCAGCCCTGGGATGAATTTCCAGGAGATGAGGCATCTCTGTCCTTGGGAATGGCAGAGTTCTACAGGACACAGTGGTGGCTATCACCAACCCATGACAGCGATAGCCCTGCTCTGGTGGGGCAGAGGACTCTGGTGATGTCTCCTGCGGTTGGACTGGCCCTAAGGGAGTTGGCTGTCACCACAGCACACTTGTGTGGGGGGTCCTCTCTCCCCAAACCCAAACTGGGGCATGGCTGCAGCTCCCAGGCCATCAGGGCTGGCAGCTCTAGTGTTAAACTGCAGTTTGGCTTAAAGTGTGATTAAGGCTGAATCACTGCCTCGATCCCACTAATCCTGGCCTGTGTGCCTGTGTACGCTGGGTAATCCCAGGAGATGGGCCCCAGCGGAGACAGGCTGCAGGGAAAGCCAGGCTGATGATCTGGGGAGGAAAAGCCAGTGAGACCTGTGAGCAGGGCCCTTCTGCTGGCCGCTGCCACATCACCTGGGGCCAAGGGCACGCGTTCACATCCCCAGCAGCTGCAGCGCCTGACCTGTGTCCTCCCTTGCTCCCTACAGCAGAGTCTGACGCCAGCGTCTTCGCCTCCAACTCCTTGCAGCGGAAGAAGAAAGGGCTGCTGCGTCCAGCACACTACCGGGCCAAGCCTCACCTCCTCATCGGGATGCCCCAGGACTTCCGCCAGATCTCCTCCATCATCGACGTGGACATCCTGCCCGAGACACACCGACGCGTGCGGCTCCACAAGCACGGCTCCGACAAACCGCTGGGATTCTACATCCGCGACGGCGTCAGCGTGCGCGTGGCTCCGCAGGGCGTCGAGAAGGTGCCCGGCATCTTCATCTCCCGCCTGGTGAAGGGCGGCTTGGCTGAGAGCACGGGGCTGCTGGCGGTGAGCGACGAGATCCTGGAGGTGAACGGCATCGATGTGGCTGGCAAGTCCCTGGACCAAGTGACGGACATGATGGTGGCCAACAGCCACAACCTGATCATCACCGTCAAGCCGGCCAACCAGCGCAACAACGTCATCCGCAGCAGCAAGGCCTCGGGCAGCTCCGGCATGTCCACGGACAGCACCCCCAGCCAGCAGACCCCCAGCCCGGCCTCGCAGTACCTGAGCAACTACAGCACGGCCGAGAGCGACGAGGAGGGCGACCTGGTCATCGAGAGCGACAGCGCGTCCCACTACATCCCTGGGGGCTGCCCCAACGGGGGCCCCGCAGACGGACCCCTCCAGCGGAGCCTGTCCCCGCACAGCTCGCGGGGCTCCCTGCAGTCCCTTGGCAGCCACGACGGCAGCCCTGGCAGGGGCAGCGGACGGGAGGATGGCACCCTCCTCACCCTATAGCTGCAGGGGACTGTGCCACTCGGTGGCCGGCCGGGTTTCCGCTCATCCAGGCTGGGTGTGGACGCAAGGGTGATAATGTGGGCAGGGGTGGAGAGGGGCCGCCCACTGCCCTCTCCCACTCCCTGCGACACTGGGAGCCCCACTGTGGCACCCACTCAAGCTGGGCACTGCTCCTCTGAGCCCCCTTGCCTCCCCTTCCAAGCAAGCGGGGGTTTTTAATTATTGAAATATGCATCATTAATATATTGCAATGGACAGTAAAACCTTTTCTAGAAAGCACCGTGCTTGTCCCTGGTTCATGTCACTGCAGGGAGGAGGGGGACAGCGGGTGGGTACCCCAGCCCTGTGCACGGAAGGCAGTGCCTGGGGGCAGTGACCTTGACCTTAGCACACCTTGGGACTTTGCTGCTGTGTGGGGTGACCCCACTGAGACCCATCGTGCCTGTCCCAGGACACATGTCCAGGCTGCTTTGGGCAGCCACCTGGCCTGATGGCCTGATGCAGTCAGCTTGCTTGTTCCCCCCCTTCCCACCTTGTTCCCACTGCAGAGCCCTCACTAATGCAGAGGATGCCTGGTTCTGGCAGCAGCACCTTGGCTGTCACTCAGCCCTGCAAACACTGCTGGGGATAGTGCAGCCTCATCCTCCTTCTTCAGCCCCAAGCTTGGGGCTTGCCCCTGTCCCTGCTGCTCTGCTGGGGCGCCCAAGCTGATGGTGACACTCACTGCTGCCAAGGGCTTGTGGTGGGACTGGCAAGGAGGAAGACCTGCAGCTCTCAGGGTCTGAAAAGCCAGCACCAACTCTCCATTCAGAGCCTCCATTCAGGCCAGGGCAGGCAGGGAGTGCAGCAAGGGCTGAGGACACTCATAGCATACAGCCAGAGCCCAGACAGACCGGAGAGCAGATCTGACAGCAGGGCTGGTTGGCCCAGGCTTGTTTTGGGCAGGGAGGTGCCCAGGAGCTGTGCCCATGGCCCCCAATCACTCTCATCCAGCCGGCTCAGCCTGGCTTGGGGTTTGCCCTGAAGTGGCCCCAGGGACACATGGGGTGATTTTCCAGTTGGCATCTCACCTCCTCCAGCCCTCAAGTGCCAAAATATTCCCCAGCCCTTGGCAGTGGCGTTGGCCCTGACATCCCAGGGCACTACAGTGTGCCAGGTGGCACAGGCATGGCTGGAATACGCCACAATATCCCCACCACAAAATTCTGCCCAGGATGGAGCAAAAAGGCAGCTGCTTGGGGGATCTGTGCACACCCTGTGTAGCAAAAGGAGACAGAACAACAGCACAAGCTGCAAGAAGGGAAAACTTGATGGGATTTCAGGGGAAAAAATGTTCCTCCTGAGGCCAGCACTGTCTGGAGACAGCCTCAGCAAGGTGATGGGGGCAATCCCATCCTTGGAGATTCTCCTAATTCAGCTGGATATGGCTCCAAGCTGTGGCACCATGCCTCTGCTGAGCAGGAGATGCACCAAGTCCTCCAGCCATCTCTTACAGCTTAAAATTTTCTTTGCTTCATTCAGCAAGATCCCTGCAGAGGTCTGCACAGGTTCCTGCATGGCATCTGAAGGTAAGGCAGTGAGCTCACTTACGTGGCACCTTCCCAGCCCTGTCCTGCCAGCCTGTGGATGGAAATCCAGCAGGATTTTGCACATTCTCCAGTCCATGTCCCACCACCATGCTCCAGCACCCAGCCCTGTGAAACCCACAATTCACCCCATCTACATTGTGCCAGTGCTGATGGTCTCTGCTGCCCACACCAATCCTCAGGCCCTGCTGGGCCCACTGGGAGCTGCACACACACTGCAAGATGGAAATGATGATTTATTGGAGTATCTTCTGCCACACAGACAACAAAGGCTCCTCCAGACATCTGACTGGACCCTCCTGACAGCCCAGCCCTTCTCTGGGCAGAAAACACTGAAGCTCTGTGCCTGTTTCTTGTCCCCAAGCTGTCCCCTGAGCCCTCAGGTACCCAGGATGAGCCATGACCATGGTCCAGCTCAGGAGAAAGAGAATGGCAAGGAATACCACAGGCAGCAGCACACGAGACCTCCTACCAGTTTCTAGAAGTAGGAAAAAAAGGGAAAGTAAGAGGTGATGCCACAAATCCAGAGCAAAGAGCTGATCTGTGAGAAGCCAAGAAGGAGACAATTGTTCTCCAGACCACTGAGCAGGGCCTTTTTTAGGGCATCTCCCTCCCTTTCCTGTGGACAAGATACAGCACTGAAAGGTGAGCAGGAGATGCCAGCTGCATATTGGACACTTATCGGCACCTGCATGGGCCCAGGGTCTGGAACTCGGCTTCCTCTCCTTCCCTCCCAAAAAGTGATGTCCATTCCTGCCCAGCAACAAAGGATGTTCAGGCAGAGCAGCACAGCACACCTGGGCCCACCAGCTCAGGAGTCCAACTTGATGAAGACTTTTGGCCTTGAGAAAATTCTGATTGCCTCGTCTATCTGGGAGAGCTTCCTCTCGAGCTCTACCCGCCTCTTCTGCATCTTGAGGCTGTCTCCACGCATGGGCAGCAGAACCAGGTCCTTTGTCAGCTGCTCCTGGCCTGTAAAAAGAGAAAAAAAGAAGTTGTGTAAGTTGAAGAGCAAAGAAACCCATCCTTTTCCTGGTGCTATGACCATGAACACAATGGCAGAACTAGAACAAGGGCCTAGAATCCTTCTACTTAAAGCTCAGCTGGATAAGGATCTGAGGGACCTGCTCCTGCTCTGAGAACCAAGGATCAGACTAGAGACCTCTGAAGGTGCCTTTCAACCAAAATCTTTCTAAGATTTTAGGAGCAATAGCAATCCTAACATCAGGTCCACTGGACAAGTCTGCTGCAGAGAGCCAGTCCTGTAACCTGCAGGACATTGATTGCTCTTTCCATGCACACATTTCACATCCTGCCTACATATGCCTTAATCCAGGCAGCTCTCCAAGTGGCAGCAATCTGTGTCCCTGTGTCTCTTCTCCCTTATCCTGTCTAGGATTGTCTGTTTTTCTGAGCTGCAATCCCTGTTTCTTTTCCTCTTACTCTGCTTCAGATTGCCGAGGGTCTCCAGCCGCTGGCTCTCGGGCATCATGGTGTGTCCGGGCGGCGTGTCGGGGTCTGGCAGGTTTCGCAGCCGCTCCTCCATCTGCTTGCGCCACAGCTCCTTCCTCTCCAGCAGGCTGGAGGCAAAGGAGAGCAGGTGTCAGCACATCTGGCAGGAGTGGCCCTGGGGCACAGGCAGAGACCAGGAATGTGCCCTTCAAACCCCACCATGTTCTGTGTCACTGGCTGAGGGCCCCAGGGACCCACGTGCTGGCACACACCCTCATGGTGGGGGATACACCGTGTTTAAATCACACACGTGGGCCAGCAAATGCGCTCCACAAGGGGCTGCTGGGAGAGATGCACTCAGATGCATGTGACACAGGCTCCTTGGAGACAAGGGCTGCTGCTCCTCATTTCTGGCTCACTGAGTCCTCACCAAACCATCTGTGGGTCAGTGGCAGAAGCTGGACAGAGCAGCTCACAGCCAGGGATGCTTGCAGAAGACAGCACAGCCAAAGGACTGGCACCACAGTCAGTCCTAGGACAGGGTCTGTTTTCCATGCAGAGCCCCAAAATGTACAGCCCTAGCTGGACGTTCCCTGGATGCCAGGCCCAAGGCAGGATGAATACTTGTGAGACAGAGCAAACTCTCTGCCTCTCCAAAACCGGACTTTTTCATGCCAAAGCCACATCACATGGAACAAAACTTAGAGGGACAGCAGCACGTTTCTCAAGGCACACAGAGCTTCCCCACATCAACATCATTGTACAACAGCAAGCAAGGGAGGAGGAGACAAAACTCCCTCTGAACCCTGTTACACTGGGCACGGGATGCTGGTTAGGTCAAGAAAGCAGGAGGGACAGTGTTGTCCCCAGGTGACAGAAAATGGCACTGCTGCACATTGTGAGTGCGCCTCTGTGCCCAGCCCATCTCTCCAGGCAGAAGCTGGGGAGTGCAACCAAGGCTGTTGCAGTCTCATGGAGCAGAGAGGAGCACACATACTACTGGGGGACGTGGCCCTTTTGCTTGGTGTTGTATTCCTCCTGCTCCCGCTGCCTCTGCTCCAGCAGCTCGGCCAGCGCCTGCAGGGACTGGGAGCGGCGCAGAGGGGCCCGCTTGGCACTGCAGGCGTTGTGCCTGATGAAGTCAATGCTCCTGCCCTCCACCTGCACCTGGAAGAGAGAGAGAGGCATCAGGGGCAGGCTGGGCACGTGCACACAGCCAGCTGCCCATGCAAGGGAAAAAATGCACCACACAAGATACTGAATTGTGTGACAGCAGGACAGACAGACCCTCAGCACAGCCCATCTCAGAGTGCAGCCACACACAGGCAGGAGCTATGGCCATGGTTTGGGAAGGCAGGCACCAAAAGCCAAGCCTAAACCTGGCCTCTGTAAGGTCCCCAAGATGACCACATACCTTAAAAGCCAGGACAGAAAAAAACAGGCTTGACAATAGTCCCCATGATTCTTACTGGTGAATTTTGAGGGCAGAGGAAAAACAGGTTGGGTGCTCATCAGGCCAAGAAATGCAACAGAAACCCTGGCAGAGCAGGAACTTTGCTAATCCTTGGGGCACTTCCCCAGAGACAGCACCTCCACCACAGCTCTTCTGCTGGATGAAACAATGGAGAAGGTGGCTGTGTTTGCATTTAAGATTTCCCTGGTATTTCTCCTTTGTAGATCATGTCCTGTTTAATTAAGTCATTCATGGCATTTAGGAACCAACAAACTGACAATCTCACACTTGCCAAGGGAAAAGGACATGAGTCATGGGGCTGTTTAGGACCTCCCAAACAGACTACTTGCAAGGTTTAACTACCAATGCTGATTTAACTCTCCTTACTAAAATGTACACCCATTTCCCAAACTTTTATCTAACATCCAGAAGCCACAGTTCCTTTGATTACAGTGGGAACAGCCTCCAAATCCCCAAGACCTCCTGCAAAGCCCTTGGAAGAGCAGATTTGCTGGCATGAAGAGGTGGAATTTTCACAGGGAACTTCATGATGTCCCTAACTATGAGTGGGGATGAAGCTAGAATTAACAGCCCCTGAATATCCATTTCACCAGCCCAGTGACCAAGACTCTGTTCCTTCCCTTCAGCCAGGAACAGCATTTACAGATCTCCCTGATCATGCAGCACATCTGACCCAACGCTTTAGAAGAAGACATGAAGAGTTCAAAGCAGGAGCAATGGATCAGTGTAACTCACCTTGGTTTCAGCACCCTGTGCCTCTGGAGTCTCTGTGTCTGCTCCTGCTTTTGCTCTGACAGGCCTTGGGGACAGTGGTCTGCATGGCTTGATCCCAGAGCCACAGCGAGAATATGCCCTCAGGAAATTCACAGCCTCGGGATTTGGAGGTGGGGAGGTCTCCTGGGAAAGGCAAGAAAAGATCCACCAGTGGAGGGAGGCTGGAGCAAAGAAAAATCCTCTAAACCAAGTTTGGGTGGTGAACCATGAGCTCAGCCACAGGTTTCCAGCAGGCACACGACAGCACAGGCTTTCTGCCATGGCCCAGCAGAAGATCTCGGGGATCTGTAGTCAGCCAGCAAAGGCAAACAAACAGCAACAACCTGGCCACTGAATGAATCACTAAATTTTCTGCAGAAACACATTTGGATCAAGCAGGTAGGGATGCAGCTGCTTGCTGAGGTGCTGTTCTCAAGTGCTGCTCTGCTCAGCACCTCAAATCTGTGGTTACATCACTCTAGAAAGAAAAAGGAGCAGAGAGTGAAGGACTCACTCTGTACCTGAGGAGCATCTTCAAAGGCTGAGGCACAGAGTGATAGTACTTGATGTCTAGCAGATGGTCTGGGACTATCTCAGACAGTCAAACAAATCCTGAAAACTGAAAGTTTACAGTGTGGCAAGTGGGTGACCTAATGAAAAATGCAGCTGGGGCACTGCTCTGCCCTGGGGAGTGATGGGAATTGCACAGGGCCACCCCAGATCTCTACAAATACCCAAGGTCTCAGCTGAACTGCAGCTCCCTGGGGAAGATTCCTTCTTGCCTGGCCCATTCAGCTGGGCAGAGCTGCAGACTGATGGGATTGGGCAGCCACACTGGTGGGTTTGGTGTGAGGAGCAGGGTATGGGATGCCCTCATCACTGCCCAGACTGTTCTTGCTCAGAAGATGATCAGTCTTGTTTCAAAAGGAGATCTGGGTCTCTCTGGTAAGTTAATGAGAATTGCCTTTACCCAACACAGTTGGCTCAAAGTTGATTGAATCTGTGACCTCAGGAGCACAGAGCACAGCTTGCCCCATCTCCCCCTGTGGAGCACTGGGACTGCCAGAACCCTTTCCAAGACAACTGCTACAGTTAACAGCCTCAGGGACAGATGACAGAGAAAAAGCTCTGCATTAGTCATCAAGATCCAGCAGAATCAACTGAAACTCTCAGCAGCTCCACAGAAGATGGAGATTCTTCACAGGAACTACCTCAGCTCTAGGAGGGCCACAGCAACAGTTAAAGCATCATGAGTCAGTGCCAGGGCCTCTCTGGAGGAATACACAGAGCACAAGTAACGCACCACGCAGAAACTGCCTGCGCAGAGACCACCCCCTTTCCCCAAAACAAAGGAAGAAATGAGCTCAATCTTCCTCTGATCCAGAGGATTTGTCAAACAAGAGCGTAGGCTTGTGTTCTTGAAGCACCCGTGGGTTTGCTCCCATGTGTGGAAGGGTCACAGATATCAAAAGGGTTGGTGACACACCAGGAAGGGACACAGCAGTTGGAACCACCGGCTTGGGAAATCATCCTGCCAAATTTTTGCAGTTGTTATCAATACATGTCATTTTAGCACCAAAAGCTGGCCACAGAAAGGGAAAGCAATGCAGAGATGAGGAGGAACTTAAAGGCTCCAACTCAGCACCCTCACAGGCTGTGCTGACCTATGAGGCCTCCACCCTGACTGCCTGGAGATGTCTGTGTGACCCCCCTGAGCAGTGGTTATTCACCAGGACAACCACTTGGGGAAGAATGTGTGGAACACCCTGCCCACTGTGCATCCACAGGGTGGGAATAGTTGAATTGGGGCTCAGTGCAGCCTGCAGATCTATCTCTGAGAACCACGATCCACGGGGTAAAACGCCACAGTCTTTTGGCACAAACCCCAGAGAAGCACTGCCCCAAACACAGGGAAGCTGAAAAGCCAGATGGGAGTATCTCTTGGTAGAAAATATGGCTGTGAGGGAGAAGCAGGACAGGGATTATTGCAGCAATCAATCTCTGGATCCAAACCACATGCTCTCACTCACAGCCCCACATCTGGGCCACATCTGCCCACTGTGCTTCAGCACTGAGGTGCCTCCAGATCCTGTGGGCTCCAGGACTCCCCTGTCTCCATCATCCCCCCATCCTTCATGGCTGAGCCATACCCCAAATCTGGAGAGTTCAAGAGCTCCTCCACAGACACCAACCTGCAGCTTGGCCTTCACCTTTGACTCCACATTCTCGTATTTCTGGGATTTCCACAGAGCTTTCACAGGCTTGGGCTGGCTGTGCTCTTGGGCTCGCTCCTTCTCTTTGCACTTCCTCTGAATCTCCTTTATCCGCCTCACGTTCTCCTTCTCGTAGTCCTTGGCCTCTTTCCCTGCTCAGCAAGGGGAGACACACCTTCACCTCCCAGACACTGCCACAGGATAGAGGCTCTCAGAGTGCTGGCACCAGAGCCACAGATCCCTTCCAAAGCTGGTCCAACAGCCCACAGAACCAGCAAGTTCTTCCCTCCCTTGCAGACTAGACCATCTCTGCATCCTGCCCCTGTTAGATGCACACTCCCAGGCTGAGCCTTCTGCCAGAGGATCCCACCGTGCCCAGATGAGCACCAGACCAGGCCTGTGCACACTGCTAGTGTTCACAGACTCCCTTGTTCTCCCCTTGTCCCAGTATGGACTATGCCAGACAAGCCATGCCAGCATCCTCTCAAGAGCAAGGTCAATCCCCAGTCCAGCTCACATGGTGTTTCTGAAGTACAGAGGGCTGCAGAGCCTTGAACTTGCACTGTTCCTGGTTTCATGGTCAGCCATTGTCCCATGTTCAAGTGGACACAACCAAGCTTAGGGATTAGGGATTGTTTTGTTTTGGAATCAAAAATTATCCTTCCTTGGGCTCTCCAAGACAGGGAATATCTCAGCTGACATAACCAGGTGTTCATCTGTTCCCTCCCTGCTTGGGCACAGCAGTTGTAGCATCTACCACACTGGCACCAGCCCAGGGCAATGCCAGCACATGAAGTACATTAAAATGACACACAGGGCTCAACCTTATCTCCTTCCTGGACCTCTGAATGCATTCTGGGTGACATCCCTGCCCTGGAGAAGGGAACATCTTTTGCAGAGATGCTCTCACATCCACATACAGACACTCTTCCAAGATCCTGCCTGGCTTCACCAATTAGGAGATTGCCATGTTCCTCAACACATCAAGGTTTTGTTTGATTCATACAGAAGTTTGACTATAAAGAAGTCCAAATTTTTGCACCTTTTTTCAAGTCCCTCTTTCCATTCTAAACCTGAGACTGGAGCCAAAACATCACTGGCTGCAGCACAGGTGATTGCACTGCCAGGCCAAAAGCTGCAGGTGGGGTGACCAGTCCTGTGAAGCTCAAGTTCTCCCCAGGCAGCAGATCCTGGGAATCCACCCCAAATCCCCAGTGCTTCATCCCTGGCCCCAAAGGCAGCTGAGGCCAGCAGTGATTTGGCTGTACTTACTCTTAACTGGCATCCCCTTGTCAAGGCAGAGCCCTTGGAGCTGCAGTAAGAGGCTGAGTGTCCCTTTCTGTCCCTTCTCCAGGAAGTCCTTCCCACTGGGGCGAATGCGAGGGGCTGGCTGGGCCTGGTGGGCACTGCCCAAAGCAGGGTAGGGGTTGGGAACTGGGTCCAGGGGGCCAGAGGTTAAATACAGCTTCTGAGCATTTCCTTCCAGCCTCCCTCGAGCTGCAGAGAAAGAAAAAGGAGAACCTTGTCAGGAAATGATCTTACCTCAGTTTTCTGCACCCACAGCTCACAAACAATGTGAAGACCCCCCCTTCACCTCTGTCTTACGCTTTCCCATCTTTCAACCAGCTGTACCACTTTAGGATCAGCATCAGAAGCACCTTCATCAATATGAATAGAGACTGTCGAGGACACCAAGGGATAAGGACATCAAGCTGTGCCATGCCAAAGCACAAACCCCAAAACCTGTAACAAGCATCAAGAACTCACCTGAGAAGGGGCGTTTGTAATATTCTGGAAAGAGTGTTGGGTCTGGAGGAATGGGTCCAGAAATCCTGGATGGTCCTTCACACATCCTGCCACAAGTTGCTCTGCCTCTGCCACAGAAGCCAACCACCACTGAGAACAGAAATGAACAGGGCTGACTGAGCCACTGAAAAGTCACATTATAGATATATAGAGATATAGACAGCTCCAGAGATGTCCTGCAGGTAGCAACAACTCCAAACTGGACCTCATGCAGGTGAAACAAGGGGTCCAACAGCACAGTCTCTTCTCTGGGTCTAATCAGTGTTTTTACCAGTGCTGAAAATGTCCACAGTTACTGTAATATTTATTGGTACCTTTGGTACAAAAATCCTTCCTGGCTTTGTTCTCCCATATGGAAGCATCTAATGCAGACACAGAAGGAGTGAACAGGAAACATGAGGTAGCTGGCCATCATCTGACAGATTTTAGCTTGAGATTCGAATTATCCTGTACCCTGAGCTCCCCCTAAATGGCTCCTGTGGTTCAAGCACAATTAGTCCAGAGGAAGCTGAAGCTCCTGCCCTCCATGGCCATATCCTCCCTGAGAACACACCTGTGCTGTCACCACCCCTCAGCAGGCTGGGGCTGACCCCCAGAAAGACAAACATTTTACAAAAAGACAAAGCATTTCACTCCAGGACCATGTAGGGCAGAGACTGGATTTCTGGGGAAGAGCCCAGATGGTTTCTCAGGTCTTGGGAAGAACAGAGTTACTTTTCAAAGCAGAACAGATCCACAAGTCCCTGCCCTGGTCCACACGGGTCCCTGTTGCTTCTCTTCTCTCCATAACAGAAGCACAGACCCTTCCACCAGGAAGGGACAGGAGCAGTCAGCACCAATTTCCCTGCACTGTTCACCAAGACCTCCTGGACAGCAGTTTTATACCTACAATAAACCCGCTCAGAACATGAGCATGCAGGATGCCACACCAGCAGGCACAGACTGCTGCTGAGCTCTCAGCAGATACCACAAGTGCCTCATCAGAGTCACACCACAATTTTGAGAGGCGCCAGGGCAGCTTGGCTGGAGTCACTGCTGTAAGAGCTGGGGCTACAACCCGTACTCCCTGACTCCTGAGGCAGTAATTTAAACATTTCTGAGACAACTCAATGGGAAGAACCCCTTTCAGGATCCTTGGCATACCAGCACTGACAGGACGCAGCATCTGCAGTTTAATTTATAAACCAATAAATGATCAGTGCAAGGCTGAGTGAGTCTGAGTCATAGCAACTAATGCACTGCAGTCTTCCTTGCTAAATCACCCCTGTTGACATGAGACCCATTAGCAAAATGCTGTTATCCATCTCCTGGACACAACAGCAGAGGCAATGCAAGCAGTGTTCACTGCTGCACACCAGTATGCATGTGCATCCTGTACCCAGCTGCTCTGGAAAAGCTGTTTCTGAGAAGCAGGGACAGACTTTTAGCCAGAGATAAAAGGATGCTGGCTTGGTATTATTTAATCCCCTCAATAATGGATCCAACTAAGCCAGAACAGCCTCTCTTATTCTAGAGGGGGGAAAAAAAAAAAAAAAAAGTGAACATTCACCATGAGATCACTCCAGAACAGCTACTGGCTTTGAAATGCACATCTGATCTTGATCTGAACTCGAGTCCCAACCCAGTGATTTACACGCAAAATGACAGGCTGAAATCAAGACCTGTAAGAGAGCAGACAATTATTGCGGGGGACTGAAGGAGGAAAGGCAAGTTGATGGGAGGTGGGGGATGGAAGGCTCATTTTATACCTTCACATCCCAACTGCACCCTGCCCTGCTGCAGGGAATTTGCAAATGACACCCACTCCCTGATTTACAAGTCACACCACCTCTGGCTTGGGATCTTGCAAGATCAGACAACCTCATTACAATAGGGAGCATCTTGCCTATGCAGGGACCTAGGAGGGACACAAGCCCCCAGCAGCAGGGTCCCAGCCCTGGGAAGCAGCTGCCAAGCCTCAGTTACCAACCACTGGCACAGACTTCCCGAGCTGCTGCTCTGCTCCTGCTGACCATGGGCCTATTTGGGGGACACGAGTGGAAGAGCCTCATGGCTCACTCCTGCCAAGAGGGACTGTATGACCTCTGCTGTCCAACAGTCCTGTGCTGAGCCAACAGCACTCACTGCCCCTGCATCAAACAAGTCACTTCTTTCACTGGGCTTGTCTGCTGCCCATGTAACCTTTTGTCCAAAAGGAACATGACTTTTACATCCACAGGGGGATGCAAGCACCAGGGAAACACAGCAAGAACACATACTATGAACACAGAGGAGAGGGATGAGAGAACAGGGTCAGCCCTCTTGGGCAGTGACCTGACTGCTGCCTGCACCCAGAAAAGCATCTCCTTTACCACCACATCAGAAATCTAAACATCAACAACTCAGTACCTGCTGCCACCAGACACATACCATTATTCACAGGCTGTGAGATGCAGGCACACTCTGCAGAACCAAGCTGAATAAATCCAGGGAAACAGATAGCAGTGTGCCACTCCTCTCTCCCCTCCACCAGCCTGTGGACTCCCTAGGGAAGAGTCACAGCTCCCAGCCACCCTGCACAGCTACAGGAGACACAGAGCAGTTGCTGGAGTAACCCAACAACTTCAACACTGCTCATTCAGCCCAGTGTGCTGCTCCCTTCCCCACCAGAACCATGGCTTTATGCTGGCCCAGGAACCAAGCAATGCAGGCTCCAGTTCTCTCTCTCCCAGTGTCTGCAAGTTTAATAACCATTAACTCGACTCTGTGCCCTTTGCTGCAGCTGACCAAGTGGTAAAAATGCTGCTTATCCCCCTGGTAAACAGAGCCCTTTCAGAGCCTGTAAGAACCACAGCTTCCTTTTGTGGCTTGTTTTTGGCATGATAGTTAAGGTAACTGCAAACCATGGGAACAGACAAGCCTCAGGCAGGTGCATTTCACAGCCTTGAACCCTCGGCATCTGACTTTGAAGCATTCCCTCTTCTTCACAGATGACATTTTCACTGTGCCTGGGTCCCTGGCCAGGAAGCTGCTACCACACACAGAGCTGATGCCAGCCCAGCTTCTTGCCTTCATGAGCCAATCTCTGCAAAAAGCATGGGAAAAACATCCCACGGTTGTGATAAGCTGTGATAAGCAGAGCAAGTCATCTGCAGCAAATCAAAGGGCTAATCTCTGTGCAGCTGGTCTTGCATGTTTGATTCCTTCCTCAACAGTGTTAGCTGAAATGGAAAGTCACATCAGGATAACTTCCATGCCTGAGGGCTGCACCAAAACACCACCAATGGATCTGGGACTATTCCTCCTGAAGAACTGGAAGTCGAGACCAGAGGTCAATGTGCTGTGAACTAACCCAGTGGTTTTTGTCCCTGCCTAAGCCTTCTCCTTGCTGACTACTATGGGAAAGATTAATATTCTCCTTTTTAACGCTATTCTCCACACAGGTTTCCCCAGGTCTCACCAGCTCTTCCCCATCTGCCGGTCTCAAAGACCCATTTTTCCTTTTGTCTCTCTGAAAACAGAGGGACAGGTACAGCCAGGTGTGATAATGGCATTTGCATTTCTGCAAAGCTGGTGTCTACCAACAGCTCTTTAGGAATAAAGCCAGCTTGGACAGCCTGCCCAGGGAGTCAGACGAATTTCCTGCAGCAGCTGGGGCAGGAGCTGGACGAGGGCTCAGCACCGGGAGCGGGCAGAGGCTGATGCGGCTGTTACAGAGCTGCAGCCCACTCCTCACTCCGGAGGACAAGGACAGATGACGACCGAGGCCCCACCTCAACGCGTGGGATTCCCCTCGGCTGCAAGGACGAGCCCGGTGCCGAGAGCCGGCACCGCGCTCTGGGTGACACCGGGGACACCGCCGGGGGACGGGACACC